GGTGACAACTCCAGGTCTACTCCCAAGAAAGTCCCAGTCACAAGAGATGCTTTCCGGGAGTCTCATGGGCACTTTTTCCATTGTAGATACAAGCAAGGTAGACCCTTTAAAGGGTTCAAAAAATGGACCCCCCCCCCAATGTGAACCCATTCCTACATTGGGAAAACTTTAGGTGGTCTGGGAAGGTAATGGGAATCGTGAAGCCCAGCGGTGTTAACCTGCAAGCTCACAAAAGGTGTTACAGGTTCTCGAACAGGGGTTTAGGGACCTCTCCGGGTATGTAGGGGGATGTAGGGGGTGTTGTGCACAAGGGATTCAATATATCGGGATTAGAGTGTCTGCCTTAATCAGTTTGTTTATGGGAAGCCGTCAAAATTGAGCCCACTTCTCGGATCCCTTGTACAAGACAGCCTCATCATTCAGTGTCCCTCGAAACCCTTTTGAGAAGCTTCCTTTGGACCCTCCAGGAGGCGATATCTTCGTTGAGCAAGGCTGGCTGTTTATATTGGGGATTTCTTGGGGATATATCTTCATATATCATTTAGGCATGGAAGGAAAGTTCACAGTTCATGATGTACGCCGTCAAGTTAGGATGCTACGTGCACATAACTCAATCTCAAATTGAACCAGTTTCTTTTTTCTGGCTTCGAACGATCTGTCTTACCGCCCTGAGGCAGCCAAATGGGAGCAAGGCCTGGAAGTGTTGGAGATGGCCCAGAACAGCACTTCCAAACGGGGCTGGCATGGCACCTCGGCCGGGATTGTCCTTGAAGTGTAGCCTTCCTGAAGCTACCATGGAAGTTTAGGAATGGATTCTAGGGATAATGGAAGAGAAAATGGAAACTACAGGGGGTACAATGGGGATTATATAGGGGTTATATAGGGATGAGAAAATGGAAACTGCTATAAAGGATTGTTCTGCGATGCGCGCCCAGTTGCACATGTTCAGACATCTGCAGGCCGTGGATAATCTTCGCCCACATGCTGAAACAGTGGAGGGAGGAATCATCACAGCCATCAAGCATAGCCTTAAACCAAAAGAACAACAAACTGTGAGAATAGCACGGTAAAGGTGACAGGACAAAGCCCTGCATGACATTGAATAGTCTAAGGTCGAAAGCATAGATGGCAACTGCTCATTTGCGTAAGGCATCGCTGCAACTTTTGCCTGAAGCCCGCACATTGAACGGCTTGAGCTTCAAACGACCTATACTATCACCATTCAATGATGCCGAGAGATCTGTAGGATTCCTTTCTGATTCTTGCACTCCAAGGGTCTCAAAAAGTATCCCATTTTTCAAGAAGCCCCCGTCCCAAATTCGACTTACAGCCAGTGAGCAGTCTTGTCATTATCTCTGTGTGATACTTACATCTCTAGGATAGGCTCAAAAGGCATCTCATGTCAGAGTCATTACTGTATACCATGCAGGCCACTACATACAACCCCCCCCCCCATATGGAAATCAGGGTCAAGTTCATTGTCCGTTCGCCATGTTCCCTCCCATGCTACCCTTCAATACAACGAGGAAAACGTCATTTCTTTGGGTCCAAAATGAACCCATTGCTGTTATAGCGAGGGCTTCCTTCACCCACGCACACCCCACATAGACTGCGCATGTAATCATGTGTCTTGTCAATGCCACGAGCAACTGTCCTATCTATGTCTGTGGGTGGGTGGGGGATGAAGCAGGGAGAGCTCTATAATGTGGTAGGTACCTGAAGCCTGATTACGATTATTGCTATCATTCCCTACCCTAAGCCCTACATGACGTACTGGTTTCCAATTTATATCCCTAATATATGCCCTAAGTAGGAAACCACTTTTTATTCCTATCCTAAACCCTGAACCCTATACCCAAAACGCTAAATCCTAAATCCTAAACCTTTAAATCCCGTATATACCCTGAACCCTCAACCCTAAGCTAGAGCCTTCCCAAGGCCGTGGGGTGAGAGCCAGCTTTCGCAGGGCGCAGGCTGGGCTCCGACTGTTGGCAGGTCCCAGCCTCAGCCTGGAGGGGTTTTGGGGCTTGATAGGGTTATACCAGGGTCATATTGGGGTTATATTAGGGTTATACTGGGCTTATATTGGGGTTATATATTGGAGTTATGTTGGGGTTATATTGGGATGAGGGAAAAGGAGGGAAAAGGTTTAAGAGGGGGGGGCTTAGAGTCTGTAGAGTCGAGGGGTTGAAGGTTTAGGGCTCTGCTTAGGGTTAGGATACTGCAGCAAAGTTCCATCCAAGTTAACTGGTCAAGCTGTCCTGGACCAGAACGACTTGATACGCGACTTGTTACAGGAGTTTGGGGCTCCTAAGAAGAAATTTGACTTCAGCCATATGCTATGCAAACACCTTGGTTCAGACAGGACATTCGCTAAACCTTTCCATGTGCAAGCCTCAAGCATGAGAAGCCCGCAGCCTTCCCCCACGGCCCCAGCTGGAAAGGAAGGATGAGATCCTGATAGAGTCCTACCCCTGAGAACTCATGCGTCATTACTTCATAACAAGAGGCAAGTAAGACCTATGCCCTAAACTCTGATGATAAATCCTTGGCCTGACTCGTGAACCCTTGATTGAAAAGCTCAAGAAATCCTTGCAGGCCTTCCGGTGCATGATGAGGCTGAGGCCGGGTCTCCGACATTCTTTATGGAGCTCCAACATCTAGAGTGCCCCTTTCTGGAAGTCTCAGAACCTTGAATATTCGGATCCTGTGATATACGAATGGGGCCCCTGTGGTGAACAAGACTCGTGCAAATAAGGTTACGTGCGAGTATCGCTCAAGCAGCACTTCTTACAGAGAGTACTGGGTTGACAAGTTTCGGGGCATTCGGCAACCGATGTTCGCATGCAGATGAGATGGAGGGATCATGGTGGGAGTATTCACCAAACTACTTTTGTATAACCCAATATACTATAGTAGTTTCTATTTTCTTTTCCATTATCGCTATATAATCCCAATTTCTACTCCCCTAAACCCAAACTCGAAAAACAGCTGCCCCCTCGAGCTTCTATATGCGAAGGAACCAAACAGATTTTAAGGAGCCTTGAGCTTCCGAGGATTTACCTATCATTACTCTTATTACTATCATTATTTTCTATGATTGCTTTTATTTTTATTTTGAATATGATTGTTATTGTTATTTCTCTTGCTGTTCTTGACGGTGTATGAAGAGCCCTAAGCATCCAGCATTCATCCTTAAAGCCTGACTCCAACACCTTCCTAAACTAAGAACCCAAGCACCTTACCTCTAGTGGGTTATGACTTTGGGTGGGTGGCTGTTGCGGAACTTGAATTCAGTTACTCTAATAAGGATACATTACTATTTACCATATACCCCATATTTTGGTAACTGAATTTAAGTTCCTCAACACCAACCCAGTTCTGTTGTTTTTGCGCTAGCATCGTAGTTGGTTTCGAAGTCTGGGATGGTAATTACCTCAGCGAGCTCGGAACCCGTAGTCTATGGCAGTTGTCTGTCGCCTTACAAGTCTTATAATCTTTTTTTCATCACTAACTTAAAGAAAGCGTTAAAATTCTCCTTGATCCCCACAGCCTGCAACTTAAACCCACAAAGCCTACAGCCCCAAACTTCGAAATGCCAAGCCCTAAAACACCAAAACCTAAACCCAAGGCAGAGCCATTCCGTCAGCTCCTGCTGTTGGCCGCGCCTGATGAGCTCGTTATGGCTTCTGTGGTGGACCCCAGACAGCTTCAATTTTTGGATGGAGGTTCTTATTGAGGGAGTTTATGGTGAATATTGCGCCTTGTAATTCTCATAATATAGGGGGAGTATCAGATATTTACGAAACCCTATTCTTGTCAAGGCCGCCCCGACATTTGGCCCCCCTTTTTTGCAGGGATCTTGAAATCAGGATCGTAGCGCTTGGGGCAGGTAAGGAAGGGGTGGAGGCCTGCTTTGAAATGCTGTTAAATTTCTGAAAGTGCTGGGTTTGTTTGTATGTGGTTTCCAAAAGGGCTGAATGAATCCTTTCCCCCAATTATGAAAAAGGCCCTACCCCCTGGAAGCCAATGTCCCCCGCATAGTATCATGTTATAGGGGGGGACTGTTGCTTATTATTGGGTGGGGAGGTATTAGGGGGTGGGGCTTGTCGCCTTGGCTGTTTCAGACGACAGACATGATTTTTGGGATTCCTTACCTCATTCTCTTGAAGAAAAGAGCGTATGTTCATTGATGCCTTCGGTCCTGCCTGTTCTCTTTGTCTCAGGGTGACTCTCATTCCTTGACACCGGGAAGCACCGCTCGTCTTGAAAAATACCAGAAGGAAATGAGCACACGAGGTCTGCCCAATTTGGGGAGTTGCTATACAATTACTCGTGACTGACTCTTGGATTCGTTTTCCCTTCTTTTGATGAGCCAGTGCAACAGAGGCATTCCATCATGTAATCTGTCAGTGCCCCCGTGCTGACATTGAGTGGAGTATGCCCCAGAATCTCAAAAACGTTTTTTTCCTGAAGATCGTTGCGTCCTATCAACAGCCTGAGGCCCTGAGCCCACAACCGAATTCCCAGAGCTTCAGTCATCAGCCCGAAGCTGCATGTCCTGAGCCATGGTTCGCAATCCCTAAATCTCTGCCCGAGAAGGATGTCGACGAGCTGGAATTGATATGGACGCCAAATCTGGTGCGCACCATCTTGCAACGATCCGTAGCAGCCGTAGCAAGATCGACCAGTGCACAACAGTTCAGAAAAAGCCGCAGCGACACCGATCATGCTCGGGACTAGCCTTTTATGTTGAAGTAGTGGCTGAAGCGCATCAACCCAGTCTGACAGGATCTGCTCTGTTTCAAAGGTTAAGGAGGTGGAAGAGCTACCTGCATCTAGCAGGATGTACATGACATGGATAGGAAAAGTATTGTAGACGGCGGAGTTCTTTGCGGTTCCTTATGAAGGTTTGCCGTCTGGCTCGAAGTTTGCCCCTGTACTTGGAGTTCGCCAGCTCCTGGACTTCAGGAAGCGGCTTCTGGAAGAACCAGACTGCGATGGCACCTATCGCCATCTTCCTGTCCCTTCTGCCTACATGCGCACTTTCGGGGAAGCGACCCAACATCCTTTTCCTGATGACCGACAGCATGGATGGCCGCGTTATTGATCCTCAGGCCACTCAAGCGCAGGCTGTTGAGTTACCCTTCCTCCGTGATTTCCTCTCATCGGAAGGTACGAACTTTGTGCGCACCTATGTGAACAGTCCGCAGTGCGTGCCATCTCGAACAAGCATGTGCACTGGAAGGCGGACGGACCAGATTCAAACCTGGTCGAACGAGAAGGGCTTGGCAGCATCTCTTGATGGCACTCTGGATGACGGGTGCGTGTCGTTCTACGGCAAGGATCAGTGTGCGAGCTGGGCGAAGCAGCAGAACTATTCTGAGACTATCTTCACCGGCTTGGCGAAATTAGGCTATGGGGTAAATCTATATGGCAAGATAGAGGCCAACTCTTACTTGGAAAGCACTTTTGCAACATTTAGAAGTAGGTAAGTTGAGGAACAAGGAAACCAGATTTCAAGATGCAGTTTAGGCAACGATTTGATTACTGGGCTCCAAAAGGCCGCAATCCTGAGATAGTCACAGAATCCTCAATCTTAGCTAAGTAACCTCTTAATTTAACACTACATCCGAGGCAGGTTTGGATTTGCTTTTTGGCCGTGATGCTTAACCTTGTATGCTGTACTAAACAAGAGCAAAGCAAGGATATCGGAGCTGCGATAATGAATGACAAGAAGGTGCGAGCAACCACTGCGGCTCTGGGCTGGCACACTGGTCCAAATCTTCAGATTGCTCCCTGGCACTTAATTAATAGGTGTTTTTTGCGGAGCGGGGGAAGGGGTTATAGGATAATTCTGTAAACGGTTATCTAGGCACAGATGTATGGCTCCATCCGCTTGTTCCCTAGTAAGCATCAGGTAGACTGTTTCGTAGTTGATGGGTGCAGGTTTTTGAGTTTAGGGCTTAGGGGCAGTTGGTGCTGCCTAGTGAATGAAGCCCTCCATGCAATCAAGGCCCAGGCTTTTCAAGAAGCACCGGAGTTCACGGTTCTTGTTTGCTATGCTGTATGTATGACCCTTTTGACCATATGAACACTCATTTCATTAAGTATATTGCTGTCATGCTGGTATTATCACTAGCAGGAGCAGCCTCGCACCCAGCATGTTTCCACAGACTGGTTGCAAGGACAGGTGCATGATCTTAGCTTGCCGAGATGACATAGCTGCTTCAGGTCACTCGCTCTGCTGATATCCGGCGGCCAACGAAGCAGAGGCCCTTAGAACTCACCAAGGAAAACGTTGACCACGTTCACCCTGAGGATTGGCAAACTGTTGAACGTTGCCGCTTGGATTGTAGAAGAGCCATTGTCCTCAACCTTGTGTATGTACCCTCAGTGATTTTGGGCATTCTATGTTCTGGGAGGTTGACAAGCTTTTTTTGTTCGGGTGCGTTTTCTTTGTCAAAAGGTTCTGCAGGTGTTTTTTGGCCGATTTGTCAAGCAAGGTCAGGAATGGATCCAGAAACTGCCTCCTGCTGAGCAGAATGCTGAACCATTCTTCCTGTACTGTTCGCTGGATATTCCCCACCCTGCGTTCAAGACGAACGCAACATGGCTGGCCAAAGTCACTTGACTTCTGATGAGTAACGCTTTACAGTTTGGTGATGGCTCCATTCGGAATGGTCAATACGACGCAGCAACCCACAATAGTTGTTTGCCACGGGCCCTAAAACAACTGCAACATACAGAGGGTCAAGTCTAATGCAACCTAGACACGAGAACACCAAGGCATATTATCCCTCTTGTTACTCCAGCATATTCTAGCAGAAGTTTGCATAATGAGCAGCATCAGGTCCCTGTCTGATTCTCCCCTTCCTGAGAAGGGACCCCAACCCCCTTGATAATACATATTCACCAAAGAGCGTCCGTATGTAAACGGGCAATATTTATGATTAGGCGTGGCAGGTAGGGGCTTACTTCTTTGCAGACAAATACAATTGGGTTATACCTATAGTAGTTTCCATTGTCTTTTCCCTTATCCCCATATAGCCCCTATATAACCC